ACGGTCTCCGGCCGACTATGGTCTCCTGCCGACTACGGTCTCCGGCCGACTACGGTCTCTGGCCGACTACGGTCTCCTGCCGACTACGGTCTCCGGCCGACTACGGTCTCTGGCCGACTATGGTCTCCTGCCGACTACGGTCTCCGGCCGACTACGGTCTCCGGCCGACTACGGTCTCCGGCCGACTACGGTCTCTGGCCGACTACGGTCTCCTGCCGACTACGGTCTCCGGCCGACTACGGTCTCCTGCCGACTACGGTCTCCTGCCGACTACGGTCTCCTGCCGACTACGGTCTCCTGCCGACTACGGTCCTTCAGGTCAAACAAACATGTATATGTAACTCTTACCATGTAATGCAATCTATGTGATGTACATTTGCTACATCAATCCAAGGCCTTCTCCTAAGGAAGGGCCTCATTTGTAATCGACTACAAATACTAGTGGATTCATTCAAACTGGGCCAGGCCCCGTGGTTTTTCCCCCTTTTTTCAGGGGTTTTCCACGTAAAAACTTTGGTGTCTCTTATGAACGCTACACCCTCTCACTTATCTGATTGTGTGCTGGATCTTCGTACAACGCTAAGACGTTAAACCATATATTTCTCTACCGCCGCGAATATTTCTCTACCGCCGCGAATATTCCAGGACGCAACAAATATATTGTCATCCATCATTTTGAGATACATTTGAATAATATTCATATAGAATATAATTATTTATGATCGTTCATAAGGACATAAATATATAATATTTCTCTACCGCCGCGAATATTTCTCTACCGCCGCGAATATTCCAGGACGCAACAAATATATTGTCATCCATCATTTTGAGATACATTTGAATAATATTCATATAGAATATAATTATTTATGATCGTTCATAAGGACATAAATATATATAAAAAAAAAGGACATAAATATGTATAAATTTTTTGTCATTTGAAGTCAACTTGGTCAAAGGACAGAATGGAGAAAGCTGGCAAGGTGTTATGGTGGTGAGGTAGAACAGTTCCCACAGCGGATCTTCTGACAGTACCACCTCAAGAGGGTGGAAATGATCAGCGGACATAGTGGAGAGGACGGGTGGTGGAGATCATTCGTCCTTCCACTCCCCACCCAACTTGCCGTTATCTTTATGCGCCTTCTTGTCCTTGTGCTGTAGTCCGTTTGAATCCGGTGTTTTTCATGCAGCAGGAAACAGCAAAATAAGTGGGCAGGCTAACTTTTCTCAAGGGCCCGAGTGGGTTTCAGAAATGGGCCTTTCATAATTTAGCTTTCTGCCATGTTATCCATGTGATCAAATACAATTTTTTTTGAGTAATTAATTGAAATAAAAATAAACATTTTGAAGAAAAGCTAATGCTTGTTTTAATAAATCTTTATGTGAATTAGCATTAATTATAATTTAGTTATATAAAATTACATGAATAGAATTATTTTCAAAAAAGTTTTATTTAGATTTTCCTCAACCTCATATTAAACAATGAGAAGTGTTAAGCTTCGTTTGAGATGATTTTGTATTGCTTTTTAAAATAGCTTTTTAATTTAAAAATTAAATTTTTTATACTAGAAAGCTGTTTTAAGAAGCAGTAAGAAAGCCGTCTCAAACGAAGCCTAAATTTCTCAAGCTACCTCATGAACTTGTTCGAGCTCGGCTCGATAATGGCTTGTGAGCCTAGCTCGATGAGTTAATAAGCTAACTTGATTTAGCCTCAACTCAACTCATTAGCTTGTGAGCCGTCTCGTTTAAAAATATTGCTATAAAATACACTTAAAATGTTACATTTTAGGAGTTAAAAGTATAAAACTATTAAAAAATAAAAACTGTATTTTATTTTCTTATATTAAATGATTCTTTATTATAATTTTAATTTTTTTATAATTTTGTTAAAATTACTACTTTTATCATAATCATTTTCTCTCTTTCATTATCAATGAGCTGACTTGTGAGCCAGCTCGAATTACTTTACTTTTCAGATTGTAACCACAATTTTATTTGGCTACGACATCTTCTTGCTTTTCAAAAAATTATATGCTAAAATACTGCTTTTTATAACAACTTTAAAAAAATTAATTTCCCCAAAAAAAACTTTGAAATCAACTATACAAAAAGTGAAAGCAACCCCAAACAGACTCATAATTAGCATCCCTTTGAGATAGAGATGTAAATGGGCAAGTTTAGGCCTATTAGGCCCATCTAATATAGCCTTATAATCTCTTTACGAGTTTGGGATATGAGGATATAATTTTTAATTACATTTGTTTTGCAATATATATATATATATTACAAATTAAGATCTTATATCAAAATGTTGGGTCATTTATCATGCACAACTTTCTATATATAGTCTATAGATGAATTAATTATTCTGTGTGGATGCCGAACGCCGTCTTGAGTTCAACCACAATGCGCCACATCATCCATTCTCTCGGTACTACTCGGTATTGCTAACGTGACGCATTCTGGTTGGTCTCAGGACGATGTTCTGCGTCCGGCCTCCACACAAAATAATTTTTCCTATAATATCTTTAAAATTATTGGAGAATAATTAAGAAGCTTAATTTAAGATACATTGACCATAAAAATATTTTATAAACCCTACATAATGAGGCAGTTGATTTGACCCTACAATTGCACAGCTTCAATTGATCCATTTAGGCTTTGTTTGGGACGGCTTTTTTATTGCTTTCTAAAACGGAGTTTTAGTAACGGAGTTTTAGTACAAAATTTTTTATTTTTGTACTAAAACTCCGTTTTAGAAAGCAATAAAAAACCCGTCCCAAATGAAGCCTTAATCTCTTAGATAGCTGACTTTTGGTGGATGACCTCAACTAATTAGTTGATAACCTCATTCGATGAGTCTCATTGGTTAAAATTTTAGCCCAATGAAATACCATCAGCGTGCATCTATCTTATAAAATTAGGCTTCGTTTGGGGCAACTTTTCATTGCTTTCTAAAACTATTTTTATAACAAAAAAATTATAATTAAAAAAAAAAAACTAAAATTCGTGTGAGATGGCTTTCTTAGTGCTTCTTAAAGTAACTTTCTAGTAAAAATTAAGCTTTATACTAAAAAGCTGCTTTAAGAATCAATAATAAAGTCATCCTAAACGAACCCTAAAATAATGTTTTAGAAAACATTAAAAAAGATGTCTCAAAAAAACCCTTACTACGTCTGCAATGGTTTATTTCTTATGGAAAGCTAGAAATGATAGATTGTTTGGTAACAACAATCAAAGCATTGAGACTATCATCTTCAAAATCAAAAGGGCGGTTTGCTTTAAGACATCCAAGACAAAATGCTTTCAACAATTACAGTTTATGCTCACTTGATCTTTGCTGTGAAGGTCGTTGGATGGATGCCCCTCGGACGACTGCCCCTGGCAACCAGGGGTTCGTTGGGTATTTTGAAGGACGATGATGACAACAATCTACTCGTGTTTTCCCCTTGGACGATCTGAGACTGCTAGCTTATCTTCGGCAACCAGGGGAATTTTGGTGCCTTGGAGTTTTTCTGATTGCACTGAGTCCTTTGCCTTTTGGCATTTTTGCTTATCTGCTTAGCTTTCCTTTATTTTGCTTACAGGGTTATTTTGTTTTTCTTTAACTCTGTAATCTGCTTTCTTTTCACAGTTTTCATTGTTAAGCAGCTTTTGCTGATAGGGTTTTGTCATTTGCTACATAATTTTTATGCCTAGCATTTGATCTTTTATCTGTAACCGCTTTCTTTATTTATATTATTGGCTGAGGCCCCAAATTTTCCCAAAAAAAAAAAAAATTATTATAATTAAATTCTAAAATTTTTATCTCTATTTTTTTTTTACATATTTCTCTCTCTATTCTCTTTTTCAACCTTCTAAAATCTTCTAGATCCTCGCCAATGGTGTGAGTTTCCAACTCCCTCTATATAATACCGGCGGCGGCGAGCTCGTGGGTTTTCTTGTTCCATAAGTTTTCTCTTCCACAGGTAAAAGGGTAGGCCTAAATTCTCCGAGCATCTGGTCTTCACCGTTCTTCTCCACCATTCTCTCAAATCTCGCTCTTCAATCGCCATTTTACCTCTTTCTTGACCTGTGGCAAAGCAACAGTGGCATGGAATCCACAACTCCTCGTCCTGTATGTGCGAAGGAGGCCCTTGATCTCCTCAACTGTGCCGCTGATTCGGACTTTGATCGGGAGAAGTGCGTTCGGTTTTTGGAAGCTCTACGGAGTTGTATACAAGAGAAGGTTTCTTTCACTTCAGCGCGTCCTCTCATTGCATAACCGTTTAGCTTTTATGATTGTATAAATTGAATTATTCACAAGCAGGCTGCATTATTCAGGACCTAATTAGTCCTAAACCCAATCCCAGCTATTGAGTTTTTTTGGTAATTAGTGTAATTATATAGGCCCATAACCCACAGTTCCTAGGATAGTAACCTGGCTCTGATACAATATATGAGAACGAATGCACTTCAATTGCATGGAGATTTTTTGGAATGGATTACATGGATATTTGACTGTCAGTAAGGCGGGTATGGATTTAACGTTTGTGCACTTACCTCCCTGATTGATTCATGCCTTTCAATCAATGAAAATTTTTAGGTCTTTTTGTCCCTCATATTTGATAGGCATCCGCTGTGATGGAAAACAATGCTTGGTTAAGAAGGAGAGGAGACCTAGCAATCATATTTTTGTCCTGATTAGCCCACCTATCATGAGCTGTTATCTAGTCTCCGGCCTAAACCTTTTTCAAGACCTTATTAATTTGTTTATAAAATGTTTGTGCATTTGATATAAATTCCATGGTATGTTATAGAGCTAAAATGTATGGATTTATAACCCTGAAATTGTCTTAGTGTTTGATTAATTTTGGATCCAATTTCAGTAATGATATCATTAAATTTGAAAATCAGTTTAGTCCTCTGGAAGAATCTTCTTAAGTTGAAATTCAAATCAATTGACTGCTATGGTAAAACCTTCTTAGTTTAACAAATGAATGTTCGTTTGTGTTGTTAATGAATTTGTATGCTAGATAATTTACACTTCAAGGGATAGTTTCTTTACAGATAATTTTGGCATGCGCAATGATCAAACCTGTCAAAATAGCTATCCTTTCATCAGATTGATGGAAAAATTTGATGCATTGAAATAGCCTAAATCTGGATATAGCAATTGTAAAAAATGTGCAAGAAATGACTGAAGGAAAATAGTTTTTGGTTATTGTCAATTCAATTGGATCCATGAAAGATCCGGGGCGATGATCAATCCTTGCTTTTTAAGCAATGTGATTACTTTTTTATGTATTTTGAGGTGATATATGTCTTCATTAGTCGAATGCTTTGTTTATGTGACATATCTTCTGTGCATTATGACTGCACAAAAAGGTGAATCAGCCGTTTTTCAAGGCGGTGTTCACGTTGACATATCCTAAGAAAATGTTATTTTGATTGCAGCTTGTACGGGGCGAAAATTTGACAATTATATTTTAATGAATAGAAAATTAATGCAGCATCACCAATGTATGTACCACATTATCCAATTATAAGAACTTTGATAAAAAAAAATATAGATAGCCTTGTTTAAACAACAACAACAACAACATACATTTATCCCACTATGTGGGGTCGGCTCGATGAATCTTTTTTCTCCATTGTGTCATGTTAAGAGTTAAATTCTCATTTAAACCTAATAAAGAAAGGTCATTTCTAATATTTTCTAACAGTCTTTTTATGTCTACCTCTACCTTTCTTAACATAAGTCAAATTTAATACATTTACTTTCCTAATCAGCTCATCGGAAGGCCGGTTTTTATGTGACCAAATCATCTAAGGCGACTCTCTCTAATCTTATCATCCACTGGAACTACTCCAACCTTTTCATGTATAACCTCATTACGTATCCTTTCTCTAAGCGTAAAGCCACTCATCCACCTGAGCATCTCATCTCTGCAACACTTAATATTATGCTTCTCTTTTAATGGCCAACATCAAAGGATTAAAAAGGAAAAAAAAAAGTTAAGAGCAAAGATTACTCCAAGAAAGTTGTGACAAAGATTTATGCATAATAGATTAAAATTCTGATACAACATTCAACATAAATGAATGTTGAATGAAAGTTCATAAAATTGGCCCCTAATAATTATGCTAAGGCTAGTGATCATGGTGATGATCATGCTGGTTTTTCTTCCCTCTTAGTCTACGACTGTCTCTCTCTTTTTATGACTGATTTTTATAGATGTAGCATAGAAAATCTAGCAGTTCTGAATGAAAATGCCATGCACATTTTTTTCCCAGCTTTATTTTTTAATAATTATTTTTTTCTTTGAATCTAAATTAGCCTTTGCAATTTAACCTCTGCTTTATGGATGTTACTTCTCTAAATCCTCATTCCGTATGCTTGATATTGTTAGCCAAATTTCATTTTTCTTCTATCACCACAAACTGTAGCAAAAACAGAGAAAGAGCATATAAAGAAGAGAAAATCGAGAGAATAGGAGGTCTAAACCTGATTTTAGGTAATAATATTCATCATCCTCCCTTCTACATGCTAGTGAATATATATTATGCTAAAGAGTAATTCTAAAAATAGAAAAGACGTTCTAATAGGTGCCACAATACCCCACATGCATAAAAGCAGAAAATAGAGTGATGGCTAATAAAATGGTAAGTCAATAGTGGAGGCTGTAGTTTGTTAGAAAGAGTAGGCTTGTTGTTGTGGTTGTCCGCTGGTATAGTATAGTCCACATCAGGTCTCCCTGGCTGTAGAAGTTTCCTCACCAGAGGGAATGGATTGAACTATACCTATATCTGGCGGTGTATAAGCAAAAATATCAGAAACATTAAAGGTGGAAGGAGTAAGAAAATTTGGTGGAAGATCGACAACGTGAGCGTTGTCATTGATGCGTCTGATGATCGGTACAAGTCCAATTTTGTGGGGGATGAGCTTTGAATAAGTTCAAGGATGGAATCTCTCTTTGCGAACACGGGCCATAACAAGATCACCAAGATTGAATAATTTCTCGCACTGTCGTGAGTTAGCAAACTGTTTGTAGCTATCATTGGCGGCTGTAAGCTTAGCTCTGACATCTTTTAACATTTTTATGTAGGTTTCAGTAGTTTCGGCTAGGGGTGCAAACGAGTCGAGTCGAGTCGAGCTCGAGCCAGGGGTTGTTCGAGTAGAGCTCGACTGTCAAATACCGAGCTCGAGCTCGAGCTCAAAATCCGAGCTTGAGGTCGACTCGTTTCGCTGTTGAGCGGCTCGTCGAGCTTAATTTGAGCTCAAAATGTCGTCGCGTACTCGCGTCCGCTGTCGTGCAGACGTCCGTCGTCGTTGCTTCCGCTATAATCCCAAGTTAGACATCGTCGTCGCGTTGGCTATCTCGCGGTTTGTCATTGCGTTTGCTGTCAAGGTCGCGTACAACTTTGTCGTCGCGTTCGCTGTCGAGGTCGGGTCCGTTGTCCTCCGTTGTCGATAAGCTCGGCTTGTTGAGCCTATTGTCGAGTCGAGCTCGAGCCGGCTTGCGAGCCGGCTTGACTCAGTTGCACCCCTAGTTTTAGCTGCTGCCTTACCTCGGCAATGTGGAAGAATTGTAATGCCAACCACATAGTTAGGCATTTTTGTGTATACTATACTGAATGGGCACTATCCGGTAAACCAATATGCTGTGGAGTTATAGGTGAATTCAGCTTGGCCTAAGTAGTCGTCCCACTGTTTTGGGTGTTCATGGGCTAGACAACGCAACATATTTCTTAATATGCGGTTCACAACTTCAGTTTGGCCATCAGATTCGGGGTGGTAGGCAGATCTAAGCTTGATTTCTATTTGTAACCTTTTCCAGAGCTCCTTTAAAAAGTGACTGATAAACTTAGCATCACAATCAGAATTAATGTTGTGAGGCAATCCGTGTAAATGAATAATCTGCTTGAAGAAGAGGATGCCAATGTTTAGTGCATCAAAGGTCTTTTTGCAAGGAATGAAATGGGTCATTTTAGAAAATCTATCTATGACAACCATAATTGAATTAGCACCTCGTTTTGTTCGTGGCTGTCCCAAAACGAAATCCATACTCAAATCTTCCCATATGGAATTAGGTACTAGTAATGATGTATATAGACTCGTATTTTGTGCATTGCCCTTGTAGAGTTGACAGATCAGACAATGCTCGACAAAGCGAATAACATCTCGGCATAAATGTGGCCAGTAGAACCTACTTTGCATTTGCTCCAGAGTCTTTGCTTGACCAACGTGTGCAGCTAGCCCATCACTATGGAATTCTTTTATTAGATGCTCCCTCCAGGAAGAGTCTGGCACACATAACTGGTTGCCCATGAATAAGAAACCATGCCGGATAGAGAAGTTACAGAATGGAATAATAGGATCTTGCATTAACTGGGCCCATGGCATAGAGAAGTCCTTGTTGGTCGCATACAATTATTGTAAAGCTTAAATTCCTTGCATATTTATTTGTAGCTGAGTGAGTAAAACTGTACGCCTGCTAAGGACATCGACAAAACGATTTTGGGCTTCAGATTTATGCTGCAACACAAAACTAAATTTTTGTAAAAATGTGTTCCATCTCGCATGCATTTTGTTTAGTGTCTTCTGACTATTAATGAATTGGAGAGCATGGTTGTCACTGCTAAGAACAAAATCCTTATGGAGGAGATAATGCTCCCACTGCTTCAGTGCCCGAATAACTGCATACAATTCTTGTTCATATGCAGACCAATTTTGGCGAGCGGGGTTCAACTTCTCACTGAAGAACTCAATTGGCCTGTCCTCCTATGATAGAACAGCTCCAACACCCATTGCATACGCGTCCGTGTCTACATGAAATGGTTTGTTGAAATCCGGTATAGCTAGAATGGGAGCCAAGCTCAATGCCACCTTTATAGAATTGAAGCTGTGTTGTTGTGCCGATGTCCTTTGAAATACCTTTTCTTTGAGGCAATCTGTAATTGGCGCCATAATTATACTTAATCCCCATATAAATCGACAAATGTGGGCACTAAAACTTCAAACTTCAGACGCTAAATGTGGGGTCCATTTGATAATAGCAGCAACCTTTTGGGAGTCCATATGAACTCTTTTGTCAGAAACAATGAATCCTCGAAAATGCACTAAACCTGTTGCAAACTCACTTTTAGGAAAATTAAGGTAGAGCTTATGTGTTCTAAGAATTTCAAAAATAGAAGTGAGGTGTTGTAAATGGTCTTGAAGTGTTGAACTATATGCAATGATGTCGT